CTCACCCCTGTAGCAAATGACGGAAAAAAAAAAAAAAAAAAAAAAAAAAAAAAGAACGAATCACATTCCTTTCATCACGAACTGAAATTAAGCAAATCATAAATCAATTTTGTGCTACCGGCTACCAGCCGGGCCGCCCCGGCTCACCTTGATTTCCCGGGCTGCCCGGCCGTGCAAGAACCAGGGAAGGTCCCCGCAAAAGAAAAAGAAAAAAACAAATCCAAAAATCCGGAAACCCCCCCCCCAATGTTATGGAGAAAAAGAAACTGAACAACTTTTGCCTCAGCGTCACTTTTGAGTTGGAAGATTGACTTTCGTTTTTCAAGAATGCTCTGTTGTATGAAGAGTGCTCTTGTCACTGTTCATCGTTTGGATGAACTAAATCGCTGCGGTTTTCTGGACCGAGTAATATACCACTCAGCGTCACATCGAAACTCCTTACCAAATTCAGATTCAAAAATAATTTATTTATTTATTTATTTGCCCCGGCCGTACAAGTGGTCCCGGGCCACTCTGGTAGCCTAGATATTTTGGCCCAAAAACAAAAAAAAAAGACGTTATCCCTGACCTTATCTGCACTCCATTATTCTTCTTACGGTGAGTGCGATCCTTCTTGCTTGAGTGTCATCTCATTCTGCGTGCTTGCTTGCTGCCTTCAGCGTCGACCATCTTCTGGCGCATACATATATGGTGGGAGAAGGGGGGCACATTGGAAGCCCCCTGGGTGTGGACGGCGGCAGCACATGATGCCATCCGATCAACCTAGGGCAACCATGGCTGACTGCTTCCAGTAATCAATAGGTACCTGGTGAGGCCTCTACAACACCCTGGACTTTGAAAAAAAAAAAAAAAAAAAAAAAAGTTTAGTTCAGGCATGCATGGCATTGCGCAGATCACACTAAGCGTCAACAGTGCGATGGAGACAATCAGGCTGGGGGGGGGGGTGTCTATAATTAATTGAAACATGATCATAGAGGATTCTATAGAACGGCCTGTCATTATGGCTCTTAGACTATTGGGGGCAACTTTCAGTCTAAAGACTCTAAACCCACTTTTTCGTTAAAATTTGAAATATTTTGCTCATGCGACGAAATTGAACAAGGATTTTTTTGCCCTCTTTTTGTATGTTTCTTCCAAATTTGATGTGGATAAAATTTGAAAGAAACATACAATTTATATTATAGTGTTAATGCATACCGCCTTCAATCTGGAAGGAACCCAAATACCTGGAGGGGTTAAGAGCTAGGGGCTACCAGAGTTGCCCGGAACCCAAATATCTATCTGGAGGGGTTAAAAGCTACCTAGG